GCCAAGTAAATGGTACTAAGAAAAAAGCAGGTGTAGCAATTCTAATATCGGACAAAATAGACTTTAAACTAAAACTAATCAGAAGAGACAAAGAGGGCCACTTCAATTTGATCAAAGGAACAATGAATCAAGAAGATATTACAATCATGAACATATATTCACCAGACTCTGGTGCAACCAACTTCATAAAAACAATACTATAGGACTTTAAGACACAGATTGACCCCAATTCATTAATAGTAGGGGACTTCAATACCCCATTGTCTCCCCCATTAGATAGGTCAAAAGGGTAGAGAGTTAACAGAGAGATGTCTGAATTAAACAATACCATATATCAAATGGACTTAGCAGACATCTACTGAGTATTCCACTCAAGCACCAAAGGACATGCTTTCTACTCAGCACCCATGGAACCTTTTCCAAAATCGACCATATACTGGGGCACAAAAGAAACCTCAACAAATACAGAAGATTGAATTAATTCCATGCATTCTATCAGACCACAATGCAATAAAGCTTACAATCAACACCAGAAGGAGCCCTAATCACCACATGAACACATGGAGATTAAACAACACACTCCTAAATGATGAATGGGTCAAAAGAGAAATTAAGAAAGAAATAAAAGTATTCCTGGAACTAAATGAAAAGGACAATCCAACACAACAATACCTCTGGGACATGCTGAAAGCTGTCCTTAGAGGGAAGTTTACAGCTCTAAGTGCGTACATTAAAAAATCGAAAGGAACACAAATAAATACTTAACATTGCAACTCAACACACTTGAAAAGCAACAGCAAACTAAACCCAGACCCAGCAGACAAGGAGAAATAACAAAAATCAGAGCAGAAACTAATGAAATTGAAACAAAGAAAACAATACAAAGAATCAACAATTCCAAGAGCTGGTTCTTTGAAAAGAGAAACAAGATTGACAGACCGCTAGCCCAACTAACCAAAAGAAAGAAAGAGCACCTCCAAATCAACAAAATCAGAGATGAAAGGGGAAACATCACAACAGACACCAGAAAGATACAGAACATTATAAGGGAATACTTTGAAAACCTATATGCTACTAAATTTGTTACTTAATTTATTGAAAAAGATAGAAATGGAGGAAGAGCTTCCAAATTCCTTCTATGAAGCCAGCATCACCTAATACCAAAGCCAGGTAAAGATACAACCAAAAAAGAAAACTATAGAGCCTTATCCTTAATGAACATAGATGCAAAAATTCTCAACAAGATACTTGCAAACCGCATACAGACACACATTGAAAAGATCATCCACCATGATCAAGTCTGCTTTGTCCCAGAGATGCAGGGATGGTTCAATATACATGTCAATAAACATCATAAATCATATAAATGGTCTCAAAGAGATGAACCATATGGTCAAATCGATGCAGAGAAGGCCTTTGACAAAATTCAACATGCATTTATGTTCAAAGTCCTAGAGGGAACTGGACTGGAGGGAACATACCTCAACATAATTAAAGCCATATATAACAAACCTACAGCCAACATCATTCAAAATGGAGAAAAACTAGAAGCATTTCCATTGAAATCAGGAAGCAGACAAGGCTGTCTACTATCCCCGCTTCTCTTTAACATAGTACTTGAAACTCCTGCAAGAGAAATAAAACAAGAGAAGGAAATTAAAGAAGTAATAATTGGAAAAGAAGAGATCAAATTATCCCTTTTTGCAGATGATATGATATTATATCTAAGGGACGCCAAAAAGTCCACCTGAAAACTCCTAGAAATTATTAACATTTTCAGTAAAGTGGCACGTTACAAAATTAACCTACAAAAGACTATCACCTTTCTATATACCAATAACAAGAAATCAGAGAAAGAGTACATGCAAACACTCCTGCTCACAATAGCTGGAAAAAAATATCTAGTTAAAGAGCTCTACAAGGAAAATTTTAACTCTTTAAAGAAAGAAATTGAGGAAGACATCAGAAGATGGAAGGACCTCCCATCCTCATGGATTGGAAGAATTAATATTGTGAAAATGACCATCCTACCAAGAGTCATATATAGATCCAATGCAATGCCAATCAAAATCCCCATGACATTTCTCACAGAATTGGAAAAAAGTATCCGAAGATTCATATGGAAGCAGAAAAGACCTTGGATAGCCAAAATAGCCCTG